CCCCCACAGCGTCTGAGCTGGGGTCTTGGGGACACCTGCAATTCCCTGCATCCTCCTCAGCACTTTTCTGCTGCTCTCGGAGTCGTCTTGTGTATTTTTTTTTAGGAATTTCTACAAATACCTTTCTGCCAGCCAGCCTTCCACTAGCTCTTCTGATTTTAGGGTAGGAAGGCTTAACTACATCTTTCTTCTTGTCTGTTTTTTCCTTGGACTTCCTTGGGGACATATCTTGCAATGTACCGTTGCTGATTCTCTGTACCGGGGGATCTGACGGGTTCACGAGGCTGTTGGTGAGAGGACTGTCTGCAGCCACGTTTGCCCCAGTCTCAGAAGTAACACTGCCTTGGGAGCCGCTGCTCCCTTCCGCCTCCTGGGGCTCAGAGAAATTCTGCAGCTCCAAAAGTACCGACTCTAACATCTGTTTCTTTAACTGGAAACAAGTTTCTGACAAGTCCAAACATTTTAGCTTTTCAGCCATTTCCAGCATTCGCTGCACCCTGTCTTCTTCTACTTGCACCTTTGCGGTGTAGACAAACTCAAGAAACGAGGCAAAGTCTACGACTTGCACTTCATTGAGATAGACATTAGTCCTAGTACCATCCACAGTCTTCTCATTAAGGAACATTTCCTTGAAAAATTTGCTGGTGGCCGCCAGCACCGCCTTATGGGCCATGAATTCCTCGCGGACTCCCTGGTACTCCACACTGACAGTCACGTCACACAGGTGACCCAGAAGGCGTAGTTGATGCATTTCATGCAGAAGGTTAACCGGAGAGGATTTGGATTCCAGCAGAACTGCACCACTTTCCATGTTTCTTCTTTCCCAAAACAGCTTTGAATCGAAAACAAGAATTACTTCATGTATGAGCAACTACCAAAGTAAAAAGATTAAAAATTAATGAGGATTGTTTCAGTTCAAACTTTAGAGGATATAAACTTAGTGACAACCTAAACCTAACTTTTCTCATGTAAAGATTGAAATCACACTTATTAGCAGTTTTCTGAACTGAAGTCCTGATGCACCTTCATAAGATAACATTTGCATGAAAAACTAGCATATTACTAAGATTTCCCCCAAGGATAAACATAAATGATTAAAGCTATGATTAATGAAATACATTAAGGCAGTAAATTTGCTAGTCCATTTTCTAATTTGAGTATAGACACAGACCCAAAACTATAACAATTTATGGCAACAGCAATGTCTAGTTCTCTGATTAGGGAAGCCAAACAATGAAAACAAAACACATGCCATCACTATCTGGGAACAGACCTTAGAGAATCATGTCTACCTTTGAAAACAACCAAATATTAAAAAAATAACTACTTCCATGGGGAAAACTTCATGGAAACGTAGTCCACAATCCATGGCCATTTCCAACACCCCTAAACACCTCATAACTTGAATTACCGTTACTCTACTAAAGTAATGGGAGCTCCACAGCTTTTACAAGCTGTGAGCTTGAGCAAGTAACTTGTCTGAACCTTAGTTTGCTCCTTTGTAGAAAGAGGGCTGGCACGCTCTTAGGAGGCTTCATTGAGTGCAAACATGTCAAATGCTTACAGCCACGCCTGAGACCTGTTAGCTGGTTGCTCTCGGCTTCCCATGCACGAGGCCTAGGTGCTATTATCCCTATTTCACAGGTGAGGAAGGAACTAACAAGGTAACGGAGTGGCTGGGGCTTGAGCCTGGGCCTGGTGGGACTCTGATCTCACACTGACACTGCTCAGCACACCCCTCTCCTCAGCCTTGCCAAATACAAAGAGATGCTTTTACTCCCTGTTTCAGTCCACAGCCTGGGCCCTGAAGATTCCACCTCCACCCCATTGGGGGTCTCTGCTCCTTGCTTTCCTTGGTACCCACCCCACACCATCTTGGGTCATTTCTTCTGCTTGGCTGGTTCTCCTCTCACCTCAGACTCCCCGAATATGTGTTTTCTCCTCAAGGTCCCCCCAACCTTCTACTCGTGAGTCTCCTTCCTCTTCCAAGTTCAGTTTGGTTCCTAACTCTCCACCCACCCATCTAAAGTGCCCCACCTTCCTTCCAGCCTCCCTCAGCCAGATCTTAGATGTCACCTCAGACTCCCTATGCCTGAAGCAGAACTTTCTCCATCTTCCCTGAAAACCAGGCTCACCTCTCCCCACTTCTCCACTCCCACCAGTGACACCTGAGGCAACAACTGGTTCCCTCCAACCATCAGCGTCCCCTCCCCCCCGATGGAAAACGACTGCCCTTTGGGATTCAACTGTAGAAAGGACGCCCACAGGGCCTGAGCAGTGTCACCTGAAGGAGGCTCCAAACCCAAGTCAAAGCGGCGCGGGGGGGAGGGGTGGGCAC